ACGGGCAGGATCGAGGGCTTCACCAACGTCCGCGAGCTCTACGCCAAGATCGCCGAGGCCTTCGGGATAGCGCCCACAGAGGTGAGGGTGGACCCCGAGCCCCACCCGGGGCCCGTCTGCACGCCACGCAGAAACGTCAGACAGACCGTAGGGGTGGGGTACCCACATCCGCCGAGGACGCCGGTGTAGCTGCTGGGTGGGAATCAGAGCACCGGGTAGACCCATGAGGCTCAGCTCAGCGGGGAGACTGCTCAAAAAGCCAAGTTACATCACCCACACAGGATAAACCAGGTGTAGTGGTGAAGGCCTGTTATTCCGGCGCTGGGAAGGTGGAGGCAGGGGGATTGGGAGTTCAAAGGTCAGTCATCCTCGGCTACAAAGAACTGCAGGGTCAGCCTGGGATACATGAGACCTGTCTCAAGAAAAACCACTTTCAATTTCTTGAATTTAATTCTTTGTATTACATTTCTCTTTCTTTGTTGCTATTTCTTTTCTTCCCCTCCTCCTCTTCTTTTAATTTTGTTTTTCTGACACAGGATCGTCCTGGCACTCGCTCTGGAGACCAGGCTGTCCTCAAACTCACAGAGATCTGCCTGCCTCTGCCTCCCGAGTGCTGGGATGAGAGGCGTGGCCACCACTTAGTATATTTTAATTTTGTCATATGTGGGGCGTCAGAGCACACAGTGGATGCTGGAGGGGGGGGGGTTCTTCCCGAGGTCTTAGAAAGCAAGCCTGCTGTCAGTCCCGCGGCCATGTTGCCCTCCCCCATTCCTTTGTTTGTTTAATTAGGATAAGATCTCACTTTGTAGCCCAGGCTGGCCTGGAAGCCTGGAACTCACTCTGTAACCCAAACTGGCTTCTAGTTTTCCCCTTGCCGCAGCTCCTCGGCTTCTGGGGTTACATTGGTAAACTGGGATGCTCAGACTTTTTTTTTTATTTGAGGGAATCTGAGAGAGTCTCAGTCATCCTCCTGCCTCAGCCTTCTGAGTGCTGGGATGACAAACAGGCACCATGGCCACAGTCAGGCCTTCTGCCTTGTTCACAGGGGGCCACTGCTATCCCACGTGGGACACAGGTGCCTCTGGCCTCCAGGGGGCGTCCACAGTGCCCGTCTGCCACAGAAGGGTTTGCACAGGTTGGTCCCTCCATGACTGATTTTGGGTCCCTCTCTTGCTGGGGCAGATCCTATTCTGCACCCTCAATAGTCACAAAGTGGACATGCAGAAGTTGCTTGGGGGACAGATCGGGCTGGAAGACTTTATCTTTGCACACGTGCGTGGAGAGACTAAAGAGGTGGAGGTCACCAAAACCGAGGACGCTCTAGGACTGACCATCACAGACAACGGGGCCGGATACGCCTTCATCAAGGTGCCTGTGGGTGTATGTGGTGACCTGGGTGACTGATGGCTTTGTCTGGTACTAAGGAGGCTCTGGGGACCCCCGGGAAGACGGCCAGAGCGGCCCCACAAGTGACTGATTTCCCACAGAGAATCAAGGAAGGCAGCGTCATCAACAGGATTGAGGCAGTGTGTGTGGGGGACAGCATCGAGGCCATCAATGACCACTCCATTGTGGGCTGCCGACACTACGAGGTGGCCAAAATGCTTCGAGAGCTGCCCAAGTCCCAGCCCTTCACCCTGCGCCTGGTGCAGCCCCGGAGAGCCTTCGGTGAGGATGGCTAGGCCCCAGGCTTGCCCCAGCCCAGTGAGAGGCAGGAAAGGCTTTTCTGAAACTTAGTCTCATAGCACAGGCTACCCTCAAACTCAATATGTAGCCAAGGACGACCTAGAACTCCTCATCCTGGCCCGGTTCGCGATGACTTCTGCGCAGTGTGCCGGGGATGCTAAGAGGAGAGGAGGAGAGCTTCCACAAGAATTTCTCAAACCTGGAGAGGCCAGCACTGTTCTGGGTGCTTTCTGTGTAGTGTCCCAGGATCTTGAGGGTGCTAAGCAAGGCTTTGGCCAACACTCACTCCTTGTCAGGAGCTCCCCAAGAGGGAACAGCCACAAATGTCCCCAGATATTACGCAGGGTCTCTCAGGGAAAGAATAATACTCACTGGGGAATTCTAGGCAGGGTTCCACCCTGATCTCGCCCCCAGCACCATAGTCTTCAACAGTCCTCAGGAGATCGAGGTACACAAATCCTGAGTTTGAGATCAGCCTGTGCTACAGAGCAAGACCCTGTTTGCAAAAGAGAACAAACATGAAAAAGCCCACACAAAACAGAAGGCACCTGTCCCTGCTTTGTACCCTCCAGATATGATTGGCCAGAGGAGCAGGAGCAGCAAGTGTTCTGTGGAAGCCAAAATGAGCAGTGGGAGGGAGACGCTCCGGCTGCGATCTCGGGGCGCCGCCACCGTGGAGGAAGCGGTGAGTGAATTCAGGATCTACTGGGAGTCCCAAACCGGGAGTTGTACTGCTGATGGTGTAGCCACAAGTTACAACTTCTTGTGGAGCTCAGAATGCTGATAGTGACCCACGACTCAGCATACAGTAGGGTGTGACAAGATAGTCACAGTTCAAGGCCAGCATGAGCTTCATACCAGGCCCCTTGTCCAAAAGATAAAGATCCTGCTCTCAGAGCCTCCGTTTCCCAGCTCACGAGATGGGTACTGGTTGGAGGATGGCTCCAGATCACAGGGTTCCAGGGGTGACACCTGTTCCTGACCAGAGAGGCAGGAGGGACCAATGTGACCCCCAACTCACAAGGCATTAGTATTGGTTATTTTCTTTCTTTCTTTCTTTCTTTCTTTCTTTCTTTCTTTCTTTCTTTCTTTCTTTTGTACTTGTGTGAGGAGGTCAAAGATACACGTCTTCCTTTCTCCCCAACTTTTTTTTTTTTTTTTTTTTTTTGGTTTTTTGAGACAGGGTTTCTCTTTGTATCTTTGGAGCCTGTCTTGGAACTTGCTCTTATAGACCAGGCTGGTCTTGAACTCACAGACATCTGCCTGCCTCTACCTCTCGAGTGCTGGGATTAAAGGCGTGTGCCACCAATGGCCGGCTACTTTAATTTTTTAAAAAGATTTTATTTATTTATTATGTATACAACATTCTGCTTCCATGTATATCTGAAGAGGGCACCAGATCTCATAATGGATGGTTGTGAGCCACCAGGTGGTTGTCTGGAACTCAGGACCTCAGGAACTCAGGCTGCTCTGGAAGAGCAGCCGGTGCTCTTAGCCTCTGAGCCATCTCTCCAGTCCCTAACTTTAATTTTTTAAAATTGCATTTTTTATTACTTTATTACATTTTGCCTATGTAGTGTGTGTGTGTGTGTGTGTGTGTGTGTGTGTGTAAGAGGACACTTGGGGAGCTGGTTCTCCCCTCTACTTTTATGAGGGTTCTAGGAGTTGAACAGAGGTCCAAATGTCTCTCCCACAAAGTGCCTAGAGAGTTGTAATTCTGTTAATTAATTGTACTAGATAATGGGTGTCCTTGAGATTTTTTTCACACGAGTGTCAAGTGTGTTTCAGTTCACTCCCTCACTTCCTCATCGCCTCTGCCTTCCCTCCCAGACTCCTCCACCACTCACATCTTTTTAATAACAAATGATTTGCTTCGGAGGCCTCAGAGCAGCAGCTACACTGCTGAACAAAGTATTGCCTTGCCTATCCCTTAGCCATCTATCAATCACTCCTGGGGGCGGGTCACGAGCCCCTCCCCGTTAGCCGTCTGTCAATCACTCCTGGGGGCGGGTCAGCAGGCCCCTCCCCGTTAGCCGTCGGTCTGTTCATCCGAGGACCTCATCCCTAGCCACCACTAACCTGTCAATCAGTCCTTAGGGTGGCTATGTCCTTGGTCCTTGCCCCAGGCAGCCACTAAAGGTTAATCAACCCTGGGGGCGGGGCTCCCGCCTGTCGCTCACTGGGTCGCTCGCCTGCCCTGTCCGCAGCCCAGCGACGTGGAGGCCGCGGCGGCACGCAGGGTGGACGACCTGCTGGAGAGCTACATGGGCATCCGGGACCCCGAGCTGGGTAAGCGGCGCGGGTAAGCGCGGGGTCCCCGGCGCGGGCGGGCCTGTCGGTGCGTCTGTGTGCCCCGTCACTCTGTCCGTCTGTCCATCCTGTCTCTCTGTGTGTGCGTCTGTCTGTCCGATCCCGCAGCAGCCGCAGTGGTGGAGACTGCGCGGAGCTCGGCGGGAGCCCAAGCCTTCGCGCGCGGCCTGGACGCTGTTCTGGGCGAGTTCGCCTTCCCGGACGAGTTCGTGGTGGAGGTGTGGGCGGCCATCGGAGAGGCCCACGACGCCTGTGGCTAGCATGTGCAGGAGTGCGCAGTCCCGTGCCCAGCCCCCTGACGCAGCGCCGCTCCAGAACCCAGGACAGTCCCCAGACCCGGCCTGGCTCTAGAACCTGGCCCAGTTCTGGAACCCAGGACCACTCCAAGGCCCACCCTGGCTCTAAAACCAGACCCAGTTCTGTAACCCAAGTCAGGCCTGAGGCCCAGCCCAGTTCTAGCACCCAGGTCAGTTCTGAAATCCAGCTGGAATCCCAGCAGGGTTCTGGAACCCAGTTCAGGCCCGAGCCTCAGTCCAGCTCTAGAACCAAAATTGAGACCCTACCTGGCTCTAGAACCGAGCCCAGTTCTGTAACCCAGGCCAACCCTGAGACCCAACCCAGTTCTGTAACCCAGGCCCCCCCAGAGGCACAGCCCAGTGCTAACACCCAGGTCAGCTCTGAGACCAAGCCACAATCCCAGCCAGGTTCTGGAACACAGGTCATCTCTGAGATCCAGCCAGGCTGTGGAACCCAGTCTAGCCCTGGGACACAGCCTGGCTCTGGAACTCAGGGCAACCCTGGAGCAGAGCCCTGTTCTAGAACCCACCCTGAATCTAAATTCCAGCCCAGCCCTAGAACCCAAGCTGGCTCTGAAGCCAGGCCTGCTTCTAGGGCCAAGGGCAGATCTGAAGACCATATCAGACCAGAGACCAAGCCCAGCCCTAGAACCCAGGGCACCCCTCAGGTCAAATTCCATTCTGAGACCAAGCCTGTGTCTAGAACACAGACAGGCTCTGAGGGTGGGCTGCGTTCTAGAACTCAGACCCACTCAAATAGGAGGCCTGGCTCTAGAGCCCAGCCAGGCCCTGGGTCCAGCCCTGATGCTAGAGCCCAGATCATGGCTGACCCTCAGCCAGCCTCCAGAATCCAGCCAAGTCCTGCCGCACAGCCACACTCTAGAACCCAGACAAAAGTTAACACCCAGCTGGGCTCAGAGCACGATCCCATTTCTGTATCCCAGCCGGGTTCTGAGAACAAGCCCAGCTATGAAACAGTCACCACCCCCATGGCCCAGCCCTCTAGAGACATTAGGAGCAACTCTGGAGGACCGGCTAGCTCAGGCCTCCAGGCAAGGTCCACCAAGCCACTGTCTGATGGACCCCAAGCCAGCTCCACTAGCCCCCAATCTTCCAAAACTCTGACCCAAGCAGGCAGCCAGAGCCACACTGCCATGGGGTTCAAACTCAGACCCCAGCCCTGCTCCCCAGCCCTGCCCCCCAGTGCCTCCCAGTGTCCTGCACCCCAGGCTGGCTCCAGAGATGAATGTGATTTTGAGGTCCAGCCAGGGGATGGAAGCCAGTCTGCTGTGACAGCCAGGCCCCATTCCCAAATGCCCTCCACCTCCGAAGCAAGGTCCAGCTCCAGAATGTCACCGGGTGTCCAGCCTTCCTCATCCAGAAGTCATGCAGGCTCTGGGGTACAGTCCAACTCGGGGACCCAGACAGACTTCCATGCCTGGCCCAGCTCCATAGCCCATGCTGGTCAGGCCAGCCATAGAGGATCCCAGCCACAGCCACTGGCTGAGGAGCCCAGCTTCAGATTCCTGTCTAGTTCTGGGGGCAGACCCAGTGCAGGTTCCCATCAGCTGGACACAGGACAGCGGCTCGGCTCTGGAGCCCATTGGGCTTCTAGAACCCAGTTCATACCCCAGGTTCCAGCACACGCTGGAGCACTAGCTGGCACTGCCGAAGCCTTCAGTCCCACAACCCAGCCAGGCCCCAGCCCCAGCAGTTCTGGAAGCCAGCCCAGCTCAGGAGCCTGCCTCCTCAGCTCTAGAGATGAAGGCTGCCCACAGACCCTGGGTCTCCAGCCTAAAACACAGCCTGATCCCCTGGCCCGACTTCAGTCTCCAAGCCCACCACCCCTAAGCGCCCCCACCCCTGCTCCAAGCAAGGTTGCTGGGCCTCAGCCTCAAGATGGAAGCCAGGCCACAGCCTGCCCCAGGTCATGTTCCCCAGCTGCCCACCTGGGCTCCGCCATTCCCCAGAAGCCAGCCCTTTCTCCCAAGCCCCAGCTGGGACCCCAGAAGTCCATGCCCCCCACCATAAGTGTGACTCCTAGCCCTTCCCCCCAGGCCTGGTCCTCTCCCCCACCAGGTGTAGCTGGGCTAGAGCTGTCCTCTAGGCTCTGATGACCTCATCCCAGCAAGAGGACAAGATGGTAGAAACTGAGGCTTGGGTTTCAGGAGCCTGGCTGTGAACCATGAGTAAGAGGATCTGACCACAGAAGGAATGGGGCGGGGGGGGGGGGGAGCTCCCTGGGGATCTTGGTGGTGAATAAAGGAACCTGGTGCCCCCACAGCCACGAGTCTCACTTTGAGTGGTTTGCATGGAACTGAGATGCTAACCTGGACACTCCATCACTGGGCCATTCAACCATTTATTGAGCAAGTGTGTTGCAGCTGTGGGGGAGGGGGCTCAGTAAACACTGGAGAAGTTGGTGACTCCAGACCTGACTGTGGGACCCCCTAGTGCCTCAGGCTCTGGGTCTCAGCTGGTCCCCACAGCTCCTGCACGGGGCCTCCCACATGTGACCCAAGCACCCTACCCAGACTGGGCAGGGAGACTCTGGAGGGTCAGGGAGGACATCCCTAGCATTGAGGAGGCATCTTGGGGCTCACAGGAGTCAGCCCTATGTCAGTGGCTCCCCTCCTTAGTCTGCCAAGCACTCAGGCTCCTAGGATGGGGTGCAGGCCTGTGGCAGTCACTGAGGACCTGAGGTTTGGGTGACACTGTCCTTCAGGGCCCATTGAGTGTGGCTTCGGCTGGGGGTGGGTGCAAGGACAGAGCCTGGAACCGAGAACTGAGCCGTGGGTGCAGGCGCCGAAGCACTGACCGGCGGAAGAGGATGTAGACCCAGGGGTCCAAGATCTGATTCCAAGTGGCTACACGCAGGTAAATGAGCAGCTGGTGCTCGGTAGCCCGCAACAGCTGCCCAGAGGGGCTCATGACCGGGGGCGTCCGCAGAACAGTTTGTGCGATGAAGACCTGCAGGAGCAAAAAGTTGTGTGTGACCTTGGGGGGGTGGGGCGACCTGTCTGGCTGCTGCTGGGCTCAGGAAGGAACACAGGTTTTTGGCTCATGTCCTAGCTGGACTGAGGAGATCAAGGCAGCGATTTACCCTGAGCCAGGCCTTCTCCCTTTAATTCTTTTTTTTTTCTTTTTTTTTTTTTTGTTTTGTTTTGGTTTTTCGAGACAGGGTTTCTCTGTGTAGCTTTGGAGCCTGTCCTGGCTCTCGCTCTGTAGACCAGGCTGACCTCGAACTCACAGAGATCCGCTTGCCTCTGCCTCCCGAGTGCCGGGATTAAAGGCGTGAGCCACCAACAGCCCGTCTTAATTCATTTTTCAAGACAGGGTTTCTCTGTGTGGCCCTGCCTGCCCTGGAACTCACACTGCAGCTAAGGCTGGCTTCAAACTGCCACAGAGATCCACCTGCCTCTGCCTCCTGAGTGCTGGAATCAGAGATGTGCGCCACCATGTTTTATTTTTAGACAGAGTCTGGCCAAGCTGCCTAGGCTGGCCTGAGATTTCTTAGTTCTGAGTGCCTGGGTCACACACTTGCTCTCCAGGCCCAGAATTGGATCTGCTTCGTGCTGGGGAAGCCTGTATACAGTTGGCACATAAAAAAATATTTGCTGAAGGAATAAGGGTCCTCCTCCTACAGGCCGGGCTCTATCCTCCAGGGGAGGACATCTGTACGGAAATCCACAGGGCACCCAGGGGATGTGCGTGGCAGACATGGAGCGGGCCAGCCACCGCGCTGTCTAGAATGTGTCCCCAGCATCCCTTAGAGGCCGACTCCTATTCATCCTTCGAAGTCCTACTCCAGGAGGCCCAAACTCAGAAACATTTTCCTGACACCCTGCAGACCCTGGCAGCGCCAAGGATGTGAATGGCGGGGCTGTCTCCCCGCCCTGGGGACTCACCAGCAGGGGCATCCAGCACACCGTGGCCACCACCATGATGCCCACCAGCTGCACCATCATCTCCACCTCGCCGTCGCGTGGGCGCTGGCGCCCCGCCTCGCGGTCGTGGTAGACGCGGCAGAGCGTGACGACGCTCACGGTGTTGAGCAGGAAGGACAGGCCCACGGACACGCTGCCCAGGAGCGCGAAGAGCAGGCCGAAGGCGGCGTCGCCGCGCCGCGCGCCGAGCGTCAGGAAGCACCAGGAGCCCGGGTACTGCACGGTGTAGCGGCCGAGCCCCAGCAGCGGCAGCAGCCCCAGCGCCAGCGCCGCCAGCCACACCAGCCCCACGGTGGCCCAGGCGCGGCGCCACGTGGCCGACGGTCGCCAGAAGGGCCGCGTGATGCCCACGTAGCGCTCCGAGGCCATGGCGGCGCCCAGCAGCAGAGGGCACAGCCCGAAAAACACCATGGCCACCCCCATGAAGCGACAGAGGCGGCAGCCGGGGTCGGCGGCCTGCCACACCAGCAGCGCCGCGTGCTGCGACGCCACGATGGCACCGGTGACCAGCAGCCCCAGGAAGTCGGTGAGGACCAGGCCGCACAGGAGGGTGAGGAAGGACGAGCGCGGCGAGGGGGCCCGGGCCAGCACGCTCAGGGCCAGCAGGTTGGACCCCAGGCCCAGCACGCAGAAGGATGCCGCGAACCACGGCGATGCGATGAGACGCCGCTCCTGCAGGGTGATGTTCATCGGCCGGAAGCAGGGCCCCGGGGAGCTGCCATTCGGCCACATGGCTCCCAAGCCCGGTGCCGCCAGGGGGTCACCACCCCATCGGGCGCAGGTGCCCAGCTGGCTCAGGCTCACCTGGAGAGACAAAGGGGGCTTGTGGTGAACTCTAGGCAACCTTCCATGCTGAGGAACAAATACCCTTCCTTATCTGGCGCCTTCGGGTGTCTTCTGACCCGCGAATGGTCCAGAGCAGCCTGCAAGTCTAAATCCTCCTGCCTCGGCCTCCTGAGTAGCTGCAATGACAGAGGGGCAGCCCTGGGCTTGAGTTCTACTGTGGCCTCAGTCTCCCTCTCCGCCGTCGTTCTGGCCTGCTCACTGGAATGGCCCTAACCGCTCCTCCCTTCCCTTGTATCACTTTTATAATAAGAAACGAACCCAGAACTTCTTGTTCCATTTTGGGAACAAGAAAAAACAAAAAACAAAAAACCCCAGCCCAACAGGGACACATCCCCGGGGACGACTCCAGCGGGGAGGAACGCAGGGGCCACATCACAGAACTGAGGTGGTGTCTAGAACTGAGACTGTTCAACAACCACATCCTCCCAGCACTGGGGAGCCTGAGGCAGGTGGATTGCTGTGAGTTTAAACTGCACAGAGAGAAAAAAAACAACAAAAAACAAAACCCAAAAAACCCAAACAAAACCAAGACCATAGACAGGGACAGGTGGGTATTTGCCTAATGTCACACAATGTTCCTGTGTAACCCAGGCTGGCAAGCAATTCGTGGGGACCCTCCTGCCTCATTCAGATTTCTGATGTGAGCCAGAATTCTCTTTTACACTATTCTTTTACATGTGGAGGTGCAAAGCACACATACAGCCAAGGTATGTGGAGGTCAGAGCACAAATCACCGGAGTTTGCTCTCGCCTTTCACCACGTGGGGCTTGGGGATGGAACTCAAGTCCTCAGGCTCCGCCTTAATCACCTTAATCACCCACTGAGCCACAACACCAGCCCTTGGTGTGCTCTCTCTTTCTTTTTCCTCACTCTGGCCTCCCCAGTCCCCCAGCCCAGTTGGTCATTCAGGGGTCAGGAAGCACTCCCTGCTCTTGTCCCCATGTCCCCTCAGCTTCCCCTCCTGTAATGTCAGCTGACGCTGACAACAATTATCTATTACATCCATTTCTGGCACACAACAGTAGGTGAGGTGCTCAGTTTACGAAGCTCAGAGTGCTCCAGGCCAGTACAAGCAGCTTCCCTGTCTTACTCCCATCTCAGCCCAAGGCCACCAACTGTTGGCATCATCCAGAGGAGAAACTGAGGCTCAGAGAGATGGGGGGTTGTCTTCAGGCCACCCCATGATGGTGTCACCCTGGCTCTGAGACACTGTGCACATATTTGAGTTTCTATGCTAGGTTCCCTAGGACCCCAGCACTCCCCCTGCAAGGTGGAGGCTACTCTTTCTCCTCCTTGGCCCAGCCTCGACACTGGATCCTTCACATCTGCTGTGGCCCTCCCCCCAGCTAGCCCACTGCCCAGCTGGAATCCTGCACCAAGGATGGATGGTGGTTTCCAGTCTCCCCTCTGTTCCTCACTGCCTTTCCTGGGGTTCAGGTGATAATGGCAGGGCTCAAGTTGCCTCAGGCCAGACCTGAGGCAGGGCCTGGCAACCCACACCGGCCAGCAGCTGGGACTGTGTGGTCCCAGGGAGATCACTCCTTGTTTCTGTGATCAGACTCTACAGCCTCAGGGCAGGGAGCTCTGGGCCTGGGAAGTTCAGGGCTTGAAAGTGTTTTTGTCTGACAGAGGCTCTGGCTGCACAGATTGCCTAGACTGACACTCACCTGAGGATCCATGCCTCCAGCCCTTTCTGGGATGACAGGTACAGCCATACCTGGGTTAGGGTTCTAGAATTCTCCTGAGCTCCCCCACCCTGACCCCGGAAGGCTTGAGGAGCTTAGAATCTTCCAGTCCTGAGTCCTGGGGTGTGGACTGGGGCAGCTGTAGATTTCTGGGCCATGTCTCTGCTTTGGGGGATGGGGGGCAGTAGTGTTCTGTCTGCATAGAGGCTCTGTCCTTGTCATATGTGTGCCCTGGAGCGCTGCTCCCCTTTCCTTGAGGCCCAGGCATTGGTGGCTGCGTTCCAGCCTCCTGGAATGTGGTGGTGTGGGGCTGAGCACCAGGCCCCTCCTCCTCCTCTCAGCTCATCCATCTCCCAAAAGCCTCCATGCCAGGCCTCAGAGCAGCCTGGGCCCTCCAGGCTTCCACACCCTACCTAGCCTCAGTTTCTCCCCTTACAATGAATTTGCATCCCCTAGTGGCTTTCTGCTTAGGCCTTCCTGTGCACAGCTTGGCCCCAGCTGCTCCCAGAGGGGTCTCTGTGACCACATTACCCACAGCCCAGACACCTGGTGTGTACACCCCACAACCCCACAGACCCGCAGGGCTCTCCCTTCCTGTTGTGTCAACAGCCCCAGGGTGCAAGTGTCATTTTACTGATGTGCACACAGGCAGAGGCTCTGCTTGGACCTCAGTTTCCTGGAGTGTTCAATGGACATCTCTCTCACGGGTGCCATGAGGCTCAGTGTACACACACACACACACACAAACACACACACACACATACATGAGCACACACATGTATACAATCACATACATATACATGCACACACATGTATATGAACACACACACGCATACATGCACACACATACACGCACACACATGTATACACACATGTACACAAACACACATGTATACACCACACACACATGCATACGCACACACACACCGAGTCACACGCCAGTCACAAGCCCACAGCCCCCAGTTCCATCTCTGCCTGAGCATTTGGATGGGCCTGGCCCAGACACAGGAGTACCCATGTGCAACTAAGGGAACTACACTTGTCCAGGCTAGACCACTGGAATAAAGGCCACACCCTGGAACCCTTTTCAGGGAACTTGGAGACCTGGTCACCATCCCAGGGCATGGATGTGACCACAGCAGAGTGTTGGACAAGTTTGGATCCCCCAGGCACCATGCAGAACTCAGCTCACCCGAGGGGTCAGTGTGACATCTCTTTAGGGAGCTGAGGGACTCACCGGAGAGTCAGTACAGGGTGTCGCTGTGGTGTCCCAGGAGCAGAGCAGACAGTATCTCCGTGCTTTCCCAGGCCAGGCAGAGAGAGCAGGGAGCCAAGCCCCCTGGGGAAACCGAGGCCCCAACAGATGCCCTGGGGCTGTGTGGGTAGCCGCTGTGGCGCTGGGGACCCCCGGGGGGACGGGGCTGGGGGAATGTGACAATGAGGCTGTCTCCCGCCCCGCCCTGTCTCCATCTGTCTTTCTGCCTGTCTGTCTCTCGCCAGCCCCGCCCCCTGCGCTGGCCTCGCCCCTTAGCCGGGTGCCTGGCTAGGGTGGGGAACCCGGCGGACACAAGGGTGACACAGACGTCGGTTGTTGACAGGCCAGCGCCCCAGAGGCCCAGGCCCATGTGGGAAGAGCTGCGCGGCCAGATGGGGATGGTCCTGGCAAGGCAGCAACGAGCCAGCTGGACGAAGTGTCCAGGGGTCTCGGGAGGGCCAAGGCCGGACCAGGACCGCAGGGCCACAGGGCTAGAGGGGGGTGTGGTGGGGAAGGGGTGCTGTGGGGAGACCAGGCTTGGGGACCCCTCCCCCACAGCCCTACTGCAGGAAGCCCTGACCTCGGCTGGGGACAGTGTAGACCTGTGAGCTGTGCTTGAGGGGGAGCTGGGCCCGGGAGGCGACCTTAGGTTTTGGCCTCGGTGCACACACTCGAGCACGGGACCAGGATGCCTGGCCTGGCCATGACCCCAATCCGCCCAGTTCCATAGTCTGTCCAGGGTCAACCAGACTCCTGTCAGCAGCCGGAAGCCCCTTCCCCGCTGCCCCGCCCCTTACCCTTCCGGTCTCACTCCTGAGGGCCATCCTGCCCATCCCATTATTCAGCCCTGAACCCTAACTTGCTTCCTCCCTGGTGAGGCGCCAGCTCCGTCTTTTGTAGCTCCTCTGTGGGGCTCTCTCCTAACCGGACCTGCCCTATCCCTGGTTTCTATGGCCAGGGCTGCTAGGACAAAGCAAATGAACATACCTTCCTTCCTAGAGTTTGGCTAGGAATTAATGCTGTGGGGAAAGGTGTAAGCTTTGGGGTTTTCTGGGGCGAACAGGCATTCCCTGGTCTGGGAGACCAGGTGCTGGTGGAATGTTTGGTGGGAGTGTGATGCCCTGTGGTGGGCAGAGGATGCCAGGCTGCGCTCTTGATGGGGATGGGGGACAGGGGTGAGGGTGGCAGGGGACAGGGGATGGCAGTTGTCTTTCCCCTGGACATGGCCAGTCTAGAGAGTCAAACGATGGTCGATGGAGGTGACAGCTCAGCAAGCAGGGCGAAACTGAGGGCACATATGGTCTGCTCAAGGCCAGGAGCCGCTGGGGCTTGCTGCTCTGCCACCAGGCTCAGGATGCACCCCTGTGGCTGTGGCTTCCGCTGAGGCTGGGGGCGCCTATTCTTAGCTCTGGACACAGCCAAAGGAAGGAAAAGGCTGCATGGGAGTTGGAGCCAGCTTCCGGGTGGGGACACGAAGGCATCCTTGCCAGGCTCACTCACCCTCTGTGGATCCCTGGACTCCCCCGGGAATCTGGTTCTCTGGGCTGGACCTCCTGTCAAGTGTCTTTTGTAAGGAAGGACCTGCTCTCCCCTGTGGGCACCTCAGGCTCTTTGGGGTCCCCTTACTTCCCTGTCTCCCAAGGCCAGGACCCTGCTGGGGCTACACATATGCAAGAACCAGCAGGCCGGAGATTGCCCGGGGTAGGTGACCCCTTCTGGCCCAGGTAGAGAAACTGAGACCCAACATGCCATACACGACACATGCACCCAAGTAACCCTCAAGCTTAAGTGCCCCAAGTGGGACCTTCAGCTGGAGCGTCCTTTGGTAGAGGCTGCCTGGGGGACCGTGAAATCGCAGCTGTCACAGTTCCACTGGTGTGGAAGGGCAGTGCCACTGCACTGCTTGGCTGGTTTGGACAGGTTGGTGTCCTGTTGCATTCTCAGGCCCCAGTCAGAGGTCACTGGGCCAGGGGCTGGGGACGACGCTGGTGGCAGGTCTGGGATGCAGAGTGGCATCTCTAGCCTCCACTGGGTGTAAACAAGGACCTGGGTGGTGAAAGCCACACACTCTCAGACCCTGGTGGTCTTGGGCTCAGGTGGGCAGAGGGGAACCGGAGTCCTGACTCTCCTAGAAGACACTTGGGTGTGGTGTCTGTACTGTGGCCTCAAAACACGAAACATTTTTAGAATAAGCTTTCTATTAAACGTATCAAAACCACATGGCTTCCCATAAGCACGAAGTCTGCGAAAACAAGACACCCCTCCCACCTAAAGCAGTCTCTTAAGAGAAACAGTTGCCGTCGGTCCTTTCCAGACGCGCCGGGATCCGAAGGGATCCGAGGGGCCGCGGCCTGTAGAGTGCTGGTTACTGTCGCTGAGGAAGGTGCCCAGTCCCTTGGGGTCCCCTCAGCCCCTCCCATCGGGAGTTGTCCTGGTCCTAGGCCAGCCCTGAAGGGCAAGCGTCACCGGCGGTAGCGGTAGCGCTTGAAGTGGAACCACAGCTGGAAGATGCCATTGGCGAACTGGCAGCGGAAGCCATGGCGGTGCGAGTACTCCCACTCACGGCTGACGATTTTGAAGGCAATGTCCTCGTAGGGAGGCCCGGCGTGGAAGCGCAAGATGGCGAAGTCTCGGTTGTCGGCGCAGGCCTCCAGGAAGTACTCGGGAGTGGCGCGCTTGCGGATGAGGTCCGGGTAGAAGATGTTGAATTTGTAGCCCTGCACGATCTTGGGTGGCGGGTTGTCAAAGTCGTAGTGCGTCTGGTTGTATTTGTTCCATTCAAAGCCCGTGTGCACGCGGTTGAAGAAGCGCGGCTTGCGCGGCCGGTACTTGTCGGCCCACAGGTAGGCGCGCCCGCCCAGCGGCATCTCCACGCTGAACTGTGCCTCGTCCTGCCCCATGCCCTCCCGCGCGCGCCGGAAGAAGATGTCCTCAGCGCTCTCGCTTGCATCGCCTGTGGGGGCAGAGGGGGTCAGCTGCAGGGCCCCCCCCACCCCTCCTGACCCCTCTGGCTGCCGCCTGCTTGCCTTGCCCCCACCTGTGGCTTGGAGCTGCTGGCGCGACAGCTGCAGGCGCTGCAGGTCCTCGTGAGGCTCCAGCACATGCGCGTCCAGGGGCAGCTCGTGTGCCGTGAGCAGCCGCGGGCTGTAGCGGCCAGCGTCGTAGTCGGCCAGGCTCTGCTGGATCAGATCCTCCTCCATCAGCACTGCCTCGCCGTCTCCTTCTGCCTCCGCCTCCGCCTCCCCAGATGCTGGAGCCCCCTCAGCTTCTGTGGGGTCCACTGAGGGTCCGGGGCTGCATGGGGCAGGCTCTTCAGGCTCCGGGCTGCATGGGGCAGTGGAGGAAGGGGTGAGGCCCAGAGGGTCAGTGGAGGAAGGGGTGCAGGCCTGGCAAGTGTGCACTCTGCTGCTAGGCCCCCCCAGTGGGCAGACCCTTACCTGTGCGTGGCCGTGGGCTCAGACTTGAGTATGGGGAAGAGCGGCTCACTCTCTACGCCCTGCTCCTGCTTCAGCTTGAATAGCTTCTGCCTCAGAACATCCTGGTGGCGCTCACGGAGCCTGGGGGACAGGAGGGCGTTCATCTCAGTTCCCAGGCAAGGCACATTTGCTGTGTGGCCTCAAACCTAGCCCTCGGAGATTGGGACCATCAGAGTAAGCAAGGCAAGCCAGCAGGCAGCAACCACCGTGCTTACACCATGGTGCTGAGCATGCGGGGCTCTATATGGAGTTCTCAAGCTAGACAGGAAGCTGACAGAGGGAGCAGGGGGCAGAGAGGGAACAGAAAGGCACCCCAGGTTCTCAAGATGCTGATAACTGGTGGTTATGAAGGCCAAGAAAGGGTTCAGGGGCTGGGCCAGCAGGGACAGAGCCTCACCTGGCCCTGGCCATGTGTGCACGAAGCTGCTGCAGGAGGCTCTCCCAGTAGCCCATGTCCAGGTTGGGGCCACCTGCACGGATTTTGCCCTCAATGCCCTGGAAGATGACCTGCAGCTGGTTGTATGTTTTCCCCTTGAATACGGACTGCACATCGGAGCTGACCGAGGAGTTGACGCCCTCACGGCGCTCACCTGCAGGACAGGGTGGTTCAGAGTAGGCCTGAGTTCCTTCCTGCCCCCCCCCCCCCCCCCCACAGGGTGCCGCCTGTGCTGCACTTGACCCCAGTCAGGGATGAGAATGACAGCTGGCCTGCCTGGTAGAGGGGTGGCAGGGAGAAGGGCTGTCCTGAGGTAGCACCAGCAACGCCCAGCTAGCTGTGCTCCAGCAGGGAGGGCTCAGAGCAGTGGGGAAGATGCCTCAGGCCTCTCACCTGGGCCCTTGCCGGAGGCTTCCAGCTTCCGGAGCTTGGCGATCTCATCCTCTGTGATGGTTGTCATGTCCCGCCAGAAGTCTACATTCTTGCCCTGCTCCAGTTCCATGTACACCTGTGGGGAGGTGTGAGGGGTGAGGCAACACAGGGGTGGGGCAGCAGTGGGAGGCGGAGCCAGGCACAGCTGCAGGCTGAGGTATGGGTGGTACCTGGATGTCCTCCAGCAGGTCTTCCATGTCTGCCACTGTGAGGCCGTTGAGGAAGGTGTAGGGCTCGTGCATCTCCACAGCCAGATCGTCGTCCTCTGCGCTGATGTACTTGGCCAACAGATCAATGGGCTTAGCCCGGCCATCTCGGATTCGAATCTTGGAACTGTGGGAGAAGATGCAGTGGCAGGGTCAGGGCCAGGACTCACAATGACCAAAGCTGACCCTGGGGCATCCCCTTGGGGCCCCAGCCAGACAGGCAACCTCAGTTAACAAGAGGTCCTGTGAGCCTGGCCCTCACCAGGGTGGGACAGCGGGGCTATGCTGGGGTCCCCAACACATTTGACCAGGTCTGTGCTCAGACACCTTTTGTGAGGTCATGTCCCCCTCCGCCCTACTTAATAGGACTGCTGAGGGTCTGCCTGGTGAGTCCATGTCTCACTCAGCAGAACCAGGGAAAGGGAACCATGGTTTGACACTCCCAGGTCTTGAAGTGCTCCGCCTCCTTCTCCCGCTGCAGCAGCTCCAGTTCCTGCTCCCGCATGGCCTTCTCCCTCTCCCGCTCCAGCCTCAGCTGCTTCACCTGGGACGGCAACACAGGGAGTCACCACGGTGAGAGGGCCCCAGCACACCTAACCCCAGGGTGGCCAGGGCCACCTCAGCCTCCAGAAGTAGGTGTGAGCAAGCGCCTGATGAGAGGCCCAAGTCCCCAGGCCTTGCCACGCCGAGGCGTCTACCTTCTGGAGCTCCAGCCGGTTGTCTTCCTGGATCCTCTTGTTACGCTCCTTCAGCTCCTTCTCTTCTAGGTGGCTGATGCCCTTCTTCTCCAGTGCCTGTGGAAGCAGCCAGACCCACTCAGCCACCAGCAGGGTCCCACAGTGCCTAGTGTTCTACCAGGCTTGCAGGGAAGACAACAGAGTAAGGACTTGGGGATCCAGACCAGAGCTGCCAGGGGTCTCCATGGTAGGAAGGTGCCTGGGGCCAGCTCTTCTCCCAGAAGCAGCCCTGGAGCTCTGCGCATCACCCAACAGCTGTTGTTTGACCATGTGCTCTCTGATGCACAAGTGTGCAAGGGTGCCTTGCTACCCCACAGTGCAGCTGAGCCTGGCACCTGCACAGGTGCTTGTCACACAGTGACAAGCACAGCAGTAACAGCACTTTGAGAGACGCCGTGGGGGGTCTAGGCTACAAGGGTCAGGACGGCCTCCCTGAGAAGGGCTGAGAGTCAGGGGAGCCCTGGAGGACAAGAACCACAAGCAAGGAGCTGGGCTGAAGGAACAGCAGGACAAAGGCCCTGAGGCAGGGAGGCGTCCTCTCAGGACATCATAGCACCTGGCTGCTCAGGGTGGAGCACTCACCTTGTTCCAGATGAAGGTGCCCAGGAGGTTGTTGTCGCCGAAGGGGTTGTCGGTGTTGGTGTACCCCATGTACTCCTCACCCCAGCCCATCTTCTCCCGCTTCTTGCGCTCCTTAGCCTCCTTCTTAGCCAGTCGCCGTGCACGCTTCTCCTCGGGCGTCTCGAAGGCCTTGAGCAGCTCTTCCTGCTGCCTCCGCTCCTCACGAAGCCTCAGCCGCTCCTGCAGGCTCTGCTGCTGGCTCAGGGCCAGGGCAGTTGCCCCAGGGCTCCGAGAGCGTCTTGGGGATTCTGAACTAGACGCCGATGACCCTGGGGACCACGAGTGTCGGCGAGTCTGCCGGGCCCAGGAGCCCCGTGCCCGCTCTTCACCAGAGTCAGATCGTGAGGACTGGTCCTGTGAGTGCCATCTGGGTGGCCTAGGGCTCTGGCTTCGCCTCCCAGACCTCTGCCGCCGGTCTCCTTCTGAATCTGACCTATGAGGAGGACATACCAAGGCCAGCTGTCAGGGTCACAATGACCAACACTGGAAGAGCACAAGCCTTTGCCGTCTCAGCAACCCGCAAATCACACTGGTCCCCACATAAACTAGATTACCCTACACAGTACACACAAGCCTCCGGCCACACTTTGAGGGAGCAGGTTGAAGATGAGAGGAGTGTGTGTGTGGGGGGTGGGGGGGGGGGGGTGGTTGGGTGGGTGGGTGTGGGTGTGGGTATATGTGGGGGTGTGGGGGGAGTGTGTGTGTGTGTTTAGATTTTCCCAGCTTGTGTAGCCTTGGCTGTCCTAACCCTTGCTCTGTGGACCAGCTTGACCTCAAACTCATATAAATAAAAACCCGCCTGTGTTGGGATTAAAGATGTGTGCCACTTTAAGGCCTGAGGAAATGGGGAGTAGAAGGCTGGACCCACATGGGCAGAAGGAATGGCATGAAAAGCCCTGGTGCAGGGACAGACCTAGGAGCCACTGGGTTGGGGACAAGTGGAGCTGACCACCACCAGTACCCCAAGGGTGGGCATACAAGGTCCTATGAGATAAAACGAAGGTCGCAGTCGGTTTACTTTAAATATGATCTGTGCATCGCTCTGTCTAATGGGATCTCCCCCTACAGCCCAGACTAGCCACCAACGTCCAGAAACACCCTTGTCTGTCTCCTAAGTGCTGGCCAGGGTCAATGGTGTGTACCGTACCATCAAGTCCTGCTGAGATGACAAGTCGAAGGAATGAGGCCCAGTGGATGGAATCTCTGATATCCCGGGAACCGTGAAAGAGGAAAACGCACCACCAGGTAATATTTTGAGGACATGAGTTCAAAACCCCAGCACCCACAAAAAAAGTTGGGCATGGCTGTTTGAGCTTGTAACCCCAGCATTGCACGGTTAGTGTCCTGGTTAGTCTTTTGTCAACTTCTGGTACTGAACAAAGGAATTTAACTACGGAGAAACACATTTGCTTTTTTGGGGGTGGGGGCGGTTCGAGACCCTGGCTGTCCTCGAACTCAGATCCATCCTCCGGCCTCTGGTCCACAGTGCTGGGACTGAAGGCGGCGCCGCCCCGGCGGGGCTGACAGGTCTCAGCTAAGTCATCCCCAGGCCGCAGTGCGGGCT